TTAGTGGTACGGAATCAATGGACTGAAGGTCCTCTTCTGTACTCTGTGATTCTATATCAGTGTCAGTAATTTGCCGATTATTAGGATATTTGTAATGGAACCATGCAAACATGCCCCTTCTGATGAAACAGATCCCTAGAAACCAGTTTGCAGCTTAGAATGTACAAATGTATAAATTTGCCTAACACACCATTTTGCCTTATTTCCAGATCACTGGAACTCAGAGATCTTTTTATAAAAATGGATAATGGTAGAATGTTTCCAGTCACATTTCAAAATGTTTTACATCAACTGGGAATAGAAATGGAACAAGAAGAATTCATAAAACTACTGAAAAGGTACAGAATATTATTAATGACTGCACTATTAGTAATGAAGTGGTTTGTAGCAAATGGCTTGATGACATGCTTACAATTCCACAGGACTTGTATGATTAAAACACAAAAAAAAATCTGATTTTCGAAGGCTTACAATGCTTCTTTGTCTGGTATTTTGTTGCAAGTGTTAAAACACTTAAAATGAACAGGTTCATGAGTCCATTATGTAGTTAATAAATCTTGCGATCTGGTTGGAATCCCTATCTCTGAGCCAGATGAGACTAAAAGTTGCCCACTTAACTTTAGTGTGGTTTGTTATGTGAACATCTGGGTCAGGACCTTCGCAGCTGAAGCAGCATACATGAGGTCATTGATATACACAGCCAACAGTCGAGTGGATACTGAAACCAAACACGCCTTTTTCAGTAGTAGGTGCAGTGTTCTGTGGTTTAAATGTCATGTAGCTGCTTTGATAGATGGAGAGAGACGGGAAGTGTGTCAGGTAAGGGAGTGTGTGACTCAAGTCCATGGTGTGGAGATGGGGAGTTGAAGGTCAGAATGTGTATTGTATTATAGGGTGCTTAAAAGTTGTGTTGAATTGAGGGCATCGAGGAAGGGGGAGCAGCCATCAAGGGTTGTGGGGACGGGAGTTGTTGGGGTATAGAGATGAGGGTCAATTTTACAATTATCAACAGCTGCAGCAGTTTTTAATTCCGTAAGGTTGAGTGGCAGGTGGGTGTGCTGCAAGGTGCCAGTGGGGGGAGGAATAGGATGCCGTGTGAGTAATAAAGTAGAGTGTCAGGGAGGAGCAGGGGTGGGAGGGGTACAGGTGACAGGTGGGTCGGGGATGTACACAGGTGCCAGGTAGTGAGCGGGTGCAGGCTAAGCGGTTAGGGATTTGGGTGTCAAGTGTGAGTGAGGGCTTGGGGTAGGTTGGGAATTCGGGTCCAGGGGGTTATTGTTGGCTTGGAGCAAGGGAGGGATTATGGGAAGTATAGGGTAGGGTAGAGAGTTATTGGATATGTAGAGGTTGGGTCAGTAAATGTCTGGATCAGAGACATTCAGTCTGGGCAAGCAATGGGATAGGATGTGAATTGGGAGTATGAGAGTCAAGTCCAAGGTGTGGCGATGGGAAGTTGAAGGTCAGGATGTGTATTGTATTATAGGGTGCTTAAAAGTTGTGTTGAGTTGGGGGCGTCGAGGAAGGGGGAGCGTCCATCAGGGGTTGGTGGGGGCAGGGAGTTGTTGGAGTATAGAGATGAGGGTCAGTTTTACAATGATCAACAGCTACAGCAGTTTTTAATTCCATAATTTATCCTTGCTAATTATTCAGCTAAGTCGGTCAGAACCATCCAAAATCTCTGAATATAACTCAGAGTTGGAGACATTTTTAGGGGGCTATAGATGCTGTATAATTGTCCATTGTAAAATTGTGTTGATTCAGCTGCATCGGGACCTTTGCTTGGTTCTGAACATAACTCTCACGTATGCTGCTACAGTGAAAATTTTTCCATCGATGGATCTGGGTCAAAACACTTGAATTCTATTTTTAAAATATTAAAACTTCAAGAGATTGCAAACTAAGGGGCAAAGTTAAACAGCACCTAAAAACCTGGGATTCTGATGCAGGTTTAACCTGTGCTCATTTACTCTGCTGGATGCTGTTTTTATGCATTTATGCCATGCAGCCAGCATTAAGGTGCTGTTGCGTGAACAAAATTGTGAGATGCTCACACGAGTTCATGCTAACCTGCATTAGTTAGAATCAACTTGTACCTCTTAAGAGGAAGGAATGTCGTTTCAAGAATTAGCTTGACCTAGTAAACACAGACAAATAACACAAATAAGTGGAGAGTAGATGCCAGGTTTCTCTGATGTAGCACTGGAGACCATGGTGCAGGAGGTAACAAGGAGGAGAGAAATTCTTTAAGCATAGGAGGCGACTGTAAAGGCAGCCAGCTGCCATGGTCTATGCCAGTGGTATGGGATTGGATGCAGTGCAGCAAAATGTTCAATGGCATCCCATGTTGGTCAAGGTTTACGAGTGTATCCACATGCCACAACCTTACACTTGAACCATAAGCTTCACACAGTCCTCAGTTCTCCACACTGTCTTCATTTAATCTCTGTAAATCATTACTTATAGCTCAGTGTCGCCTGCCCTCAAACATATCAGATCCTCTCAGTTTGGATGCAATGCTACCTCTTCAAAACTATTTAACCATTATCATTACTATCACATCCCACTCAGTGATGCGCTCTTTTCTTCACTGCATTACAAGACAGTGCAATACCGGAGGCAGCAGCAATTCGCTGTTGTTGGCTGAGGCTGTGACCAGCAGCAGCATTGAGAAAATCGAAAATGATGATCTCAACCATTTTTTTACATCTCACATCCCCCTCATCCCACAACCTTTCTGCTTTACAAGCAGCGGATGATTTAAGGATACACTTGCTTCGTCTTTGCACATGCACATTGCAACTTTATCGGTGCATTTCTCCCTTCAGATAGACAAGGACCTGGCCAGTCAGAGGTATAGGAGCAGGAAATTAAAGAGGAAATATGGACTAATGATGAAGAAACACTTCCCAGAATAGTTTGGAGGAGGGATGTGCATGTGCTTAGATACTGAGTCACCTGCAGTAATGATAGGGGAAACCAGTTATCCAGGTGTTAGCTCTCAGATAGATCTGCTGCAGAAATCTCAAATGAGGGATGGAATACAGGAAAGGCTGATGGGAATGCACCATGAAATAATTGGTACATCTCAAATACAGAAAACCTGTGGTCAATGTCAATGAGTTTGGAGGACTTGTAGAGTCATAGAGATCTATATGCTCAGAGAAAGTGGATGCTTGTCCCTGCTCTCTGAATACAGTCATAACTGGAGCATTCCCCAAGGAAAGAAAGAATTCCAAGAACAGACAGAATAAACAAGGCAGTGTTTTGCTGGAACCAATATTCCAGCAATGGTCTCCAGTCAGTAGCTGTGACTTAAGTGCAGCTTTATAGATCCCAGTATAGTTAATTGGTCAATTGGTAGCATTTGTTAAAGTACATCAGTTGTCCACAATAATTCTCGACTGTTTTAAGAGTAAAAATCATATTTGTAAAAAAAATTGTGTGATTATGCAGGAGATAGGCGATAAGACGTGCCGTATGATTCTATGGCTCTATGATACAAGATTCAGCAAAGCAATTAACTTCATAGTTAGCTCATGGTCAGGGTTTCTCTTTCAGAAGTAGCCCCAGGGTAATTGATGCAATTTGTAGATGTTCAGTGGCTCTTCTATGCAAGGAACAACACATTGGAGAAGTCTTGTCATCATTAGGTCTTTTTTCACAATGAGAATACTTTTTCACATGATATTACATAAACAGCTAAAATATTTAAGTCAATACTTTTTGAAAAGAAAACAAGTTATTACAGTGATATAGAACTTGAGTTTCTAGACTGTGATTTTGATTACTCATTATTCCCTATCCTTTATCAATTCCATCTCCAGGTATGACCCAGATGATCTTGGGATTGTTAAAGCTGACAGTTTAATGAGGGCTTTGGGTTTCCAAACAACAGGTGAGAACAGAGAAGGATGGGGAGCAGTTCCATCAGCACCTGGCAAGATGACCAGATTCACATTGCCAGAAAATCAACCAAGTATGTCTGGGTGCTTTCTTTATTCCTAATGGGGTCACGGGGTTGATTTTAACCATTAGCAGTTGACTCGCTGTTCCATAGTGCCAGTAGGATGTCCATTATATTTTCAGGATTTGGCCTTGCTGACATATTTGCAGTGAGCTGCAAGCAACAGATGGTGTTGCGAGGCAAATTTCCAGCTCCAGGGTAGGAAGAAGTCAGATTTGTGGAGATGGGTTTTGCAATTGGGACTGGGGAGTCCAGCATGGCTGTAGCCCACATTATTCTTTCTCTTCATGGCCACGTCGATATAATGTCACTTCTATTTTGTTCTGTCTTAGTCTCCATTGCTCAGCAGTTAGTATAAATGGCACTGGGGTCCTATTTATGCCATAGGGCCCTGATTTACTTACTAAACCTGGGGGTCTCCTGGTAGATGGGGGTATCTTATTGCTCATTGTAAGGTCCTGGGATATATGCAACTACCAAGCCAGGTAGCGGGAGATAAAATATCCCCTTAAATGAGAATTAGATGTAATAAAAATAAAGTACATGTTAATCAATCACCTTAAAGTGCCTTTAATTGGAAAAAATTTTTGGTTTTGAATGTGTAAGAACATATATGTGAACCTGAATTCTGGGAGCCGTGCTCAACATGAAATCCAAAATAAAATGAAATCAGCATCCCTTTATTTTCCATCCAGCTCATAAACAATCAAATGTTATCAGTACAAAATAATACACTGCCGTTCAACGTTTGCTGTTTAAAAGTTGAGGCACAATTATAGATAAGTATGGATATTAATATGAACTAACAAATGTGTCAAATTTCTGGGGATCCAATTGCTTTTCCCACCTGGATTTTATTTACTTTTGTACTTGTGGATAACCTTTCACATTCAAATGCAGGATCTCCAGGAAGAAACCAAACCAAAGCAGGCATGGAGAGAAAATTGACGTTGGACATAGAAAACTGGTTGAAGGAAAAGTTTAGAGAGGGTTTCAAGAGTATGCTGACTGATTTTTATTACTATGACCAAGACAACTCTGGAAAGGTAACTTGGTGCTCTTCGGACCTATATTGACATTAAATGTTGGTGAAACTGCACTGATTGCTCAAAAGTTGCATTCTATTCTGAAACGATTTTTAACCTCTGTTTGTGTTTGTCTGTACCAGTCAGGAGGAATTATGTGCGTCAGTATGGGGAAGGAGGAGCTTAAAAAGCCTTAATATTGCAGTGTTCAAAACAAATTAGTTTTTGTCCTATTCAGTTCCTAAGGGAATGTGCCAAAAGGTTACATGGCCAATTTTCAAGTGACATTTGGAACAGACTGTAAACTTAACAGAGTAACTTCATAGAGTTATATAGTGGAGACAATTAAGGGGCACTATCTTCATAACAGTGTTTGGTAAAAATTTCATGTTTGCTTGAAAGCATATAGCATGTATTGGAACTCATTGTTGCATAATTTATATGAGATATGATTTTTTAATGAAAACAGTACACTTCTGCTACTATTTAAAGAAAATCCAGTTTTGAAAAGGGAATATTTATTTTGCCAAATTAAGGGATTGAGTGACACAATGGAAATTGGGCAGGAGTCCAGCCAGGACTAAAAAGGTACAGTTCTAACTGTAAGTAATTCCATGGAGCCTTGACTCTGTTCCCAGTATAATTAATCCACAATGTAAATACTCTTCCAGATATTAAACACTAATTTACTGATTCAGCTTTGACAGGCTACAAAGTCAATGAGTCTGGTGAGTAGAGAAGTGGTAATGATATAATGGTGCTGTTAGTCTTCTTTGCAGGAACTTGAGGTAAGGGTGTATGTCAGCACACAGGAGAGAAACATCTGTTAACTGAATGACCCATTATCCAGTCTATTGTAGAGAGATGGAGGTTGTCAATAGCCTTGTCTCAGTAACATTAGAAAAGCAGAATACAAGGCTTTCAAAAAAAAGATGAACTGTGACAAAATAATGGCCCCTTTTAGAGTTAAATATCAGAATAAAAGTTATGTCCAAAAGCTAAGGGATGTTTTAACTTAGCCCATCAAGTGGAAAATTAACAGGACTAGGCCAGGTGCCCATTCTACTCTCTACCTGATTTGACTTTTCACTATAGTCAGCTGGTAACAGTTTAACATAAATAGCCATTTATATGAGTACATAAAAATGAGAAATAGGGCAGGATGAAGAAATATTAACACAATGATAAATCATTTATTACAGGATAACTGTTGATAATAACTGGTTTTAAGTATTAATATAAAGTCAGTCACCTTGTTAAGCATATTCAGAAAATTTACTTTGTGCTAGTGTGTCAGCGTGCAAATCAAGTAAATCATTTTCTTTTCACATGAAGGTATCCAGGGACAACTTCCTACGTGTCTTGAAAAAATACAACCTTCGGCTGCAGGAAGACCAGCTAAGTACTTTCCTTGTGCGTTGTGGACTTCAAGAAGATGCAGCAACTATAAATTATATGGAGTTTCTTCACAATTTTCAAGATAGAAGTGGAAACGGACTACCTCACCGTATTATAACTGATGAAAATCACAGGTGACAATGTAGTCATACAGCAGGTGTTTTCATCTGGATTTGTTTCTTTGTTGTGTATCTGTAACAGAAAACTGGTCCTGCAGGATATATCTTGTCTGCAGAAATAATGCAGTGTACATACGGTGTGAAATGATTTCAAGTTGAATTCTGTCTGTAGTGTTTTTAATTGTTCTTCATTGTCCTATGCAGATTTAACAAACTCAGAAGCTTTGGTTCTCAATCCTCAGTAACTGCTATGGAGGCAAAGCTAATGGAACTGTTACACAATGAGTTCCTTTCCGTTTTAGGAAGTTTTCAGTAAGTGATATATTTGATTTTACATGCTTGATAATCATCACAATGAAAGAATGGGGTGTAAGGAACGCCATCAGATCCAGAGACCCCAATGCCCCAATAACAAGGGGAGCTGCTGGGGCCAAGGATAGCAGATGTTGGGGATCTTTCCTCAATAAAAGCTGGGACCTGCCTGTTTGAATAATGAAGTGTTTTCCTCTCCTATGAGGGAGTTTCAAAATAGCGGCATGCTCTTGTTCTCCTTGCAGCCTTATCAGGGGGCACCTCTCTCAATGGCAGTGCAGAGCAGTTGATCCTCTGTGTTGGAGAGCTTAGTATAACATTTCAATCAACAAACGGAATCCCAAACAACACATATTGCTATCAACAATGAACTGAAATGTCAATCTGCATTCTAATTCAACAGCAGACGGTTTTTGGGGTGCTTTTCCATAGATCCCCATAGGGCAGGTTAATAGGGTAGTTAAGAAGGCATATGGCACACTTGCCTTTATCAGTTATGGCATAGATTATAAGAGTAGGGAGGTTATGTTGGAATTGTACTGAACTTTATTTAGACCACAGCTGGAGTACAGTGAGCAGTTTTGGTCACCACACTTCATGAAGGATGTAACTGCACTGGACGGGATTGGTGTGGAACATTTCATCTATGCAGAGAGGTTGGATAAGCTTTGATCATTTTCTTTGGAGCAGAGAAGGTTGAGCGGGGACCAGATAGAGGTGTATAGATTATGAGCGGCATGGACAGGGTGAATAGAAAGCAGCTGTTCCCCTTAGTTGCAGGGTCAATAACAAGGATTGCATAATTTTAATGTGAAAGGCAGGAGGGTTAGAGGGGATTTGAGGAAAACCTTTTCCATTCAGAGGACGCTGAGGGTCTGGAACGCACTGCCAGGGATGGTAGTTGAGACGAGAAACCTCACAAACTTTAAAAAGTATTTGGTTGAGCACTTGAAGTGTCATAACACTCAAGGCTATGGGCCTAGTGCAGGAAAGTGAGACTGGTGAAGGTAGTTATATACTTTTGGTTGTACAGACTTAATGGGCTGAAGGGCCTCTTCTATACTGTATGATTCTATGGTTCTAAGAACTTACAATTGTAGCGTGCATTTAACTCAACAAACTGATCCAAAGCACTTAACAAGAACAGTAACAATAAATACATTGTTAACTTTTTTGCCGTTGAGCAATAGAAGGAGAAATGAGGAATTCTGACCAAAAGCTTGATTAAAGTGGTAGATTTGGAGGTACATTCTAAAGGAGGAGAGTGGTAAAGAGCTGGAGAGAATGGAAGATGGGAGAGCCTGCCTGGAGAAAATTGGATTTGTCCAATCTAGAGATACAAAAAGCATGGTTTTTATTAACAGAGGAGTTGATGGAAGGTCAGGGCTAAGTAAGGTGGCATCACAAAACTGCACAACGTCACATACATTTCAAGTGCATACACTTGAAGCTGATACAACATCTTGCTTTGCAGTAAAATTGACAAGCAGAAACGAGATGTAATCAGCCAACAAGCCTTCTGGACATTTTTAAAAAACAGGTACATTTTTAAAGTTTTTCTCGTGGATGATTTATGTTTTTTATAAGATTATAGACAGCACAGTTAACTATTTGCGATGTTGGGTTGCCGAGAGCATAAGTAATAACGTAAAATTTTGTTTACAGCAAGCTTTGTGCAAAGTGATCTGTATATGCAATGTGCCTGCCCACTGCTAGGATTAATGGAAGTGGGACAAAGGGTGACTAACTCAATCTGTGGCCACATTGCTCATTTAAATATTTTAACAAAGTTTGTGCCTCAGATTTTATTGCTGTTACAGCTTTAATTTCCAGTTTCCTGAGGAGTGACTATGGAGGGCATGGTGGGAATTTTGGAAATAGATCATGGGGCATGAAAGGCGTTGGATTTTGGTGGCATGGCGTTGTTTGATCACAGGCCGAAGTGAACCACATTCAACCAGCCTCTTAATATTGTTATCTACAGTCATTGAAATTGAGTTCAAGAATTATAATCAGTTTCTGCCTTTAAATTTGACAAAACCCGACAAAAACCCATATCTCCAGGTTTTGTATTTGCAGATCTGCAACGCCCTGTAAATATCCTGGTCATTCAGAATTATCTCAAAACAATTGATAATGTTGCTAAACCTGTGGCACGAAATAATACTCATTTTATTGTAGTCGCACTCAGTTCACAGAACAGGCAATACTGTAAAATATGGATCACTGAAGAACTTGTTGCTAGTACAACAATTTTTTTAGAAAAGGAAAGACAGACACAATTGTCTTGGTACAAAAGCCAACCTACAGATATGTGAGAGTGTGCTGCTCAAAAATTGAAAAATAATGTGTGTTGCAACCTTTTACACAGGAGTTTGAGCCATCAATGAGATGCATTGCTACGCTAGTTAGCAATAAAGGATAAAGCAATAAAGAAGCTTTAGCATATGTGAATAATAATCATCATTCTAATAAATCACAACAAAATATTTCAAAATTATACACCCTCAACTTACTGGGTTGTTAGTTTCATAAAATGCTATTTGTTTCTAAGGATACTTTGATTTGAAATCTTGTAAGCACAATTTCTGATACCAATAATTTACTTCAATTTGACACAGGCTCTTATTATAATCACTAACATCATTTTGCTGGTTGAAATTTGATTCAGAACAATTTTGAAGTTCAAATGACAAAAGGTTAGCGAAAATGTATCATTACTTTGGAGAAATACTATCTTGTTTGATATTGGTATATTTTTGACAGGTATCTCTCTTCTTACATAGTGTTTTTTTTATTCCACATCAGGTGAACTCCCCTACTTTTCTTCCTTTACTCAAGTCAGAATATCAGGTGGCTATGGGGATGGTGAGATCAGGTTCAATAATATGTGCAGAATCTTAAGAAAAAGGAGAAGCTCTTGAGAAGATTAGGGATATCTTGACACACAGAAAAATCATCCTGTTGAGTTTTCTGCCTGAAGTCAGATGCCACTCAAAGTTCCACAACCTCATTCTCTGGTAGGATACCAAATCCGTTCTACTTGGCATAGGGATTGAAACCTGTCCTGATGACACCAATTTGATCCACACTAGCCATCTGAACCAACTGAGGAGTTTGAGTTGCTGTGGCAATATTCACTTTAACATGCATTTTGTAGTCAGGAACTACAAACACTGATGGTGGTGGCTTCAATTTTTTTTCCATCACATGGCTGACCGAGAATTAGTCACATTCTCACCATGTATCATTGGCATATGTTGGAAGGATTTATAAGTTGATATTCAATCTAAACAAGAAACCAAAAGCACTGTGGCTGCTGGGAATCAGAAACAGAAACAGCACAGTGGCTCAGTGGTTAGCACTGCTGCCTCACAGCGCCAGGGACCTGGGTTCGATTCCACCCTTGTGTGGAGTTTGCACATTCTCCCCGTGTCTGTGTGGGTTTCTTCTGGGTGCTCCAGTTTCCTCCCACAGTCCAAAGATGTGCAGGCTAGGTGGATTGGCCATGCTAAATTGCCTGTAGTGTTCAGGGATGTGGAGTTATAGGTGCGTTATAGTGGGATGGGTCGGTGTGGACTTGTTGGGCCAAAGGGTCTGTTTCCATACTGAAGGGATTCTATGATCTAAATTGCTGGAAAAGCTCAGCAGGTCTGGCATCATCTGTAGAGAGAAGTCAGAGTTAACATTTCAGGTCCAATGAACCTTCTTCAGAACTGATATTTAACTTAGACAACAAGGTGCAGGGCTGGATGAACACAGCAGGCCAAGCAGCAT